ATGCCTGTATAAACGTGCCTTAAACTGGTATAGCATATTTCCTTTCTTGTATGGGAACAGGCTAGCTACCCTAGTATAAAGCCTACTGATATAACTGCATCCACGCTAGATGAGATGTACTGCTTTCACTAAACTGCGACAGTTAAGGCAGTACAACTTGTGTGTGTGGAGAAGTCCTTAGAAGAGCGAGGCTTTCTGCAACCAAAGGCCTGAATGCATTGCCCCCTGGCGCTTGGGTGGCTGCTGCTGGAGAGTTTACAGTCAGAGTGTCAAGCATTACAGCAGGGGTTCCCAACCTTTTTCTTTCTGAGGCCCCCGCAACATGCTGTAAAAACCTCCAAGTGCCTGTGCCACCTGTGCCACAACAACTGTTTTTCTGCATATAAAAGCCAGGGCCACCGTTAGGGGGTAGCAAGCAACGCAGTTGCCTGGGGCCCCATTCCACAGGGGCCCCCGCAAAGCTAAGTTGCTCAGGCTTCATCTTCAGACCCAAGTGGCGGGGCTCGGGGCTTCAGCTTTCTGCCCTGGGCCCCAGCAAGTCTAATGCCGGCCCTGCTTGGCGGCCTCCATGAACCCTGCTCGCAGCCCCCCAGGGGGCCCCGGACCCCTGGTTGAGAACCACTGCGTTAATGTATCAATCCCAGCACAGGAAGCTGGCTGGGAGAGAGAGGACTTGAAACCTTCCGTTTCCCAGATGCAGGGCATGTTCACAGAATGCTAATGTAAAATGTGCTCAAGCGGGGCTCATGATGTCGTGCTAAAAGATGGATCAACCCACCTGTAACCACAGGTCACATGGATCTCTGTACAGGGACCCAGGCTCACGTCAGTTACAAGGTTTGGTTTACTTAACTTTGTTATATGCGCCAAAAGCAACTGCTGAGCATCTCTGACTCCTTCCAAGACCTCCTTCCGCAGGTGTTCCGTAATATGTAGGATCAGGACCTAACAACATGCTCGCGGGCAGAGACATGACCTCACTGGCCACTTTATTAAACAATCTGCAAAAAGACACCTTCTTCCTCGACTATGTAAAGGGCCTGCAGACAAGATTGCAATTCACCATCATTACAAACTACTGTTTGCAGAATCAATAACGGAATATTTGTATTGGATAGCATACCTTTCTTCCAGGGCCTCCCAGCACTTTCCAAACATTCAATAATCTTTGCAATAGTACTCCAGCAAGATTGATATATATTATTGAACCCATTTTACAGAAAAAGGGTAGGGGCTACTTTCTTACTGTTACAGCCAGAGGCGTGCAGAGATGCAGTGGCCAAGCAACAGTGGTTACATATACTCTCCCTATGCAGCACAGATGACTTCAAAAAGTGCTCAGCAACCGCACCTACTACCCCTTTAAGAAGTTGCAGCATCCACTCCCCCCAGTAGCAACCTCAAGCACTAGCAGGCACACATGGGTTGGGATGGCAGGACCCTCAGCCATGCCCCTAATCTGTCCAGCCATATCCCTTCTGCAGTGCACAGAGCTGACAGCTGCACTAGCCGATCCTCCTCCATCATGCAGTCCGAAAGCACCAGAATCAGACACCCTGCTCTTAAAGTGCACCCACAAGGAGACCCAAAGTGGATGGATTGCCTAATGTCACCTCGTGTGCCAGTGGCAAAGGCTGGACCAGACCTCAGGAGATTTAGCTCACAGACCCCTGGTTCTGCTCACTAAGCCCCATTCCCTTTTCGTTAACCATGGCAAACCTTCCTGACACTGGCACACATTCCCTCACGTTGATATTGGGGGCGGAAGGAGACATTTCATAAAAGTGAAATCAGAAACAAAAGTATTCAAAACGACAGAGAGAGAGAGAGAGAGAGACTGGCTTTGTTCTGACCTCACTCCCTTGCGACCACTGTTTAGCCTATTTCTTCCTCTCCCCTGGAGGCAACGACACCTCTGCCCAATCCGTCACCACTACGGGAGGCTGCAACAGGTGAATTAAAACAGAAAGCAGATGGGGCACCATCTCTGCCTGGCCCCAGCTGTCATGTCTGTTACACATCTAGCTTTTATGATGATGATGTTGGCCTCTCTGGAACCAGGTTGACCACGCCCTCCTCCCTCTCCACTGTGCTGCTAATGACAAGAGAGAGAGCACAGCAAGTGCATGTACACTGCAGAAGAGCCGTGCCGAGAAGGGATCCAACTACTTTCTACCCACTGTTCTCCCCAGAGCCAGCCCTAAGCAATAGCACATGCTACCCCTCTGACTCACAGCTCCACCTGTAGAACTCTGTGCAGCTCAAAGGCTTGTGTCTTTCACAGAAGCTGATCCAATAACAGATATGACCTCACCCACCTTGTGTCTCTAATATCCTGGGACCAACACAGCTACAACAATGCTGCAAGCTCCATCTTTGGGCATTCAAGGCCATGGGGTAGGAGTGGATGTAATGTGCGCTTTAAAGGTGTAAGAGCTGTAGCATTAGGAGATTTCTGAAGGTGGAGGTGTGGGCAGCAGGTGCCTCCTGGTGCGGTATCGAAAATGTATTCTCTCTCTCTGGTTATTACTCCATCTATCACTGCGGTGCCTGGGCACGTTGGAGCTGCCTCTGCCATTCTAGCCCTTCATCAAGACATATATGAGAATAGCTCTGGGCCAGGACAGACAGCACAAGGTCTCTCTGTCTCTATACTGGCACACCCACATAGCAGCCAGACCAACTTTACCAAGCTCTCCTTCGCCTCCATGCTTTACTCCTCCACCACCTTCCAAAGGTCCCACATTCCAACAGATTCCCTGGCAAACTCTGCGTTTGCAATGAATGAGGCTCCATATTCCCTGCAGCCATTTTTTGCTCGCCACTAGGAATCTCCAAGGCCCGGGCTTCAGGACGAACTTGAACACCACCATCTGTGACATCACGCTACACGCCTGATCCTAGGCAACACCCCTGCTAGCACTAATGGAGCCCAGACTGGGCCCCAAGAGGGTACCAGAGTCGGCGATTACTCTGGAAGGCTCCAGAGAGGTGCTGAGCATAGGCAGCTCCGGCTCCAATGCTCAGCAACTCTCAGAACGAAGCCCTGTCTTAGCAAGAACTGTAGGCACAGAGGGCCTCTGAGCCAACTCCCACTGGAAAGAGGATTGGGCTGGTCTGAAAGCGAAAAAGGAAATGCAATATCCCCACACAGCTCTTTCACAACGGCAGCAAAGTGAGGTCAAAAATGCCTCTATGGAGTAAACAGGATTCAAACTAACTGGGAAGCATCGGCCCCTCCTCCTAAGAATTCAAAGCAAGCTTTAGACTGAGACCTTCCAATAAACTGATCAAAAAAGTGGAAGGAGGGGCAGCGAAATGGTGAGCTGAAGGACCAGGAGCTAATGACAATTAAGGAATATTTTTTTCTGCATTTCCTAATAAACAAGGCCAAGCAATTACTGTAATTAAAGATTTAAGATAAAAGCACTTTATATTTTGGGGGCCCTGAATATCAATTAAATATTTATTATGTTATTCTCCCTCCTAATGAGAAAGCCTAGCATTGTAATTTTTGCAGAATTAAAAGCATAATTAAAGGAGGGTGGGGGTGGGAAATTATGGTAGCTTCTTGGGACTGTTTAGCCAGGTTCGTGTGTGTGCCCATGTGGGAGAGAGAGCACGAGATGCACCTGCCCCTCTGCCCCTTTTTCCAATTAATAACCCTTGGCCAGCACTGTTGACCAACTACCGTGATGGGCGAGGAGCTCTTGGTTATAGACGGGCTTCACCCGAGGGGCCAGGCTACTTTTTCGACTCCCTTATTCCTGAGATCGCAGATGTTACACACGGCGGCTTCTGCTTGGAGGAAAGGGGAAATGGCTTATCTGCTCAGGAGCAAGAACGCATAAAACACAAAAAAGCAATTACATGCCTTCAGTTTCCACTCCTCTGTTTTTATAGCGCTTGTCTGGGAATCTGAGCGATTTTATGCATTAGAGAGAGATGATGATCAAAATGAGTAGCAATGACATGCATGGGGGGGCCGAGATGCAGCCGCTCTGGATATTTATTTTCCTGTAGTTATAGATCCTATAAACAACATATTTCTCTGGAGGGATGTAAGAACCCAAAAGTTCTGCAGCTGAATACCAGGAGTGACGCGGCTTTTCACTAGAGACAAACTTAGGGGACACCTAGGTGTGACTTAAGATTTTCAATTCCCTTTTCAGTTCTGCGTCAGTTTTAGGTAGGAGGAGCACACACAGTACAGAGAGATGTTCAAAACACACACACACACACACACACACACACACACACACACACACACACACACACACTCTCTTTCCTGACGTTTTACTGACTATTTTCAATCCACAGCTCTTTCAACACATCTGCTTTAATACTTACCATCGCATTCTTCAGGCCAAGCCTGGGATTTTGTCTTTTGCAATTTGACATTTCCAATTAGGAGCATAAACAACACTCTCCCCAGCCTGCCACCGTTCTGTTTACCAACGGCCCAAAGTTTGTAAAGGTTCTAGATCACCGAGGTCACGTTAGGACAAACCAGAACGTAGGGCCAGATCTTCAGCTGGCATAAACCCATGAAGCTTCGGCATCCTTATACCAGCTGAGGATCTGGCTCCTAGACTTTTGCCACGTTCTACCATCTGGGATTGAAAAGGCCCCATGCAGCACAGTCACAGAACACTGGACGGAGGGTCAAATGAGATTATCGTCTAATGGGCGAGTGCCACTAGTACCGAGGTAAATTCCATAGTACGTCTATTGAAGGCTCCATAGACACCCAACCTCTCCAAACAGGAGTGAGTGGGTCACAGTAAGGAACACAGAGCAGGAAGCCCCCTTCCATTCATTGCTATAATGAATATATATCTGCTCCAGCTACACTTTCGTTTCCAATTCAGCAGATGACGCCAACAGGCGTCCTTTGAACTTGAGCTTCCCGTGGCAGCTCTGGCACAGTCCCATGACCCGCCGTCAAGTGCTCTCCATCTCTGGGCTCGCAGTGCCAGCATCCCACAGCTGGAAAGTACCTTCTTTTCATGATACTGATATGCAGATCCTCCTCCTGCTTCACTTCGGGGTGTTGACCATTGGCCTTGTCACTCTCCTCGCTGTCGTCGCTATGTGAGAAAATGGAGGTCAGCTCTTTCTTTGGGAGCCTGGTGGGAGGCAGAGGGATCGTTCTCTTCTCGGCCAGGCGACCCCGGTTCTGGCGAGCGGAAGGAATTGGCACAAAAGTCGGGGAGGGGGAAGAGAAGGAGAATTTGATTAGGCAACTCAGGACCAAAAAGCTCGCCTCAAAATTGCTACGTTGTGAGAGTCAGCGCCCAGTGAACACGGGTGTGAAGGTTCGAATACAGGTGACTTTCAAGGGAGTTCTCATGACTGTCACACTCAGCATAAACTTGCTGCAGTTCTAACAGGCAGACGCTTCACATCCCCATTTCCTACGCTCTTCCTGCTGGGCTAGGTCAACAGGAGGGGAAGACAACAGCAGAGGTAGGGCCCAGCCCCCCTCTCTCAGAGATTTCCTACTAACTATATAGGATAGATTTTATGCATAACAGGGGAGACTCTCCCCCCCCCCCCCCAGCACCAAGGCTATGCTCCAATTAAGTCCCACTTCAGCCCTATTTTGACTGAAGTGGTGCATGAGGGGAGGGTGGGGAACCACCCAAGACACACACAACCTCTTGCAGGTTTTCGACACTGGGGTGAATTTCCCGCAGCCAGAATACCTATAGGCCTGACCCACACCCCAAACTCCCTGTGACTCTAATAGAAATTCCCCGCACCGTGGGATGGCAAGCTCCGTCCCTCCATAACAGCAAACAGTCTGTACTACTGCAAACGTAAAGCTATCACCACAGGGGGGTTCATTGTCCTTTTCACACTCCCAGCTAAACTGGGTGGATTTTAACAGAGGAAGGAGCTTGTACAAACTCTCCCCAGACAGTCCTGCCAAAGTACGTCAATTACCACGCAACTCTTGAGAAAGCCAAAGTACAAACAAACAGACTGAAAACTCTTGGGGCAGGGACTGTCTTTTTGTTGTACACATGTACAGCACCTGGCACAATGGGGCGCTGATCCCAATAATAACCGTATACCTCATTTACGATTGGGATAGCGTAACCCAGGGGCTCTCCACCTGTCCAGACTACTGTACCCCGTTCAGGAGTCTGATTTGTCTTGCGTACCCCCAAGCTTCACCTCACTTAAAAGCCACGTGCTTACAAAATCAGACCTAAAAATACAAGTGTCACAGCACACTGTTACTGAAAAATTGGCCTCTTTCTCATTTTTTCCATATAATTATAAAATAAATCAATTGGAACATAAATATTGTATTTACATTTCAGTGTATAGTATATAGAACAGTATAAACAAGTCATTGTATGAAATTTTAGTTTGTACTGACTTCGCTGGTGCCTTTTATGTAGCCTGTTGTAAAACTAGGCAAATATCTAGATGAGTTGATGTCCCCCCTGGAAGACCTCTGTGTAGCCCCAGGGGTACACGTACCCTTGGCTGAGAACCACTGGTGTAACCCACCGGTGAGTGTGCGCCACAGGTCCCCCATTCTGTGCCTGATCCACAGAGGATGAGAGTTTGTTATCGGCCCAGTTAGGGAATCTTGGCTTTTTAGCTCAAGCTGTAGAAGCTCATGTAGAAGCACATTGGTTCACTCCCAGGTCCGTCAGGCAAGATGGCAACCATCACATTCGCACACCAGGTGTGAAAGTGGTTTAGGAGACCTGAGACAGACCGATACAAAGCTAAGGTCCTTGCCCTCTAGAGCTTAAAATCTAACGAGACATCAACATAAACACGTGATTGGAAAGGGAATCATGAAAGCGGTGAAGTGAAGCAGGAGTCCTGTGACTCCCTACAATTTGTGCATGCATCTTCTTCAGTGGGAAAGGCAAGGCCTTGCGGCCCTCTTGGCAGGAGCGTGCTTTCAGGAGGGACTTGCAGAGAGCAGAAGGTGAAGTGTGTCAGGCCAGGTCAGATAAATGCAGAGCGACATTTAACCTCACAGAGGTTCTCAGAGGCTGCAGCTCGGACCTTCCAAATAATCCTGACAAATGAAATGCTTTGGAAAAGCAGCGGAGAGCTACTAGATAGCTGAATAAACCTCAGTGCAAGTCTTTTTTTTTAACTAAATACATTTCAAACTTTTCCAAGAACGCCAAATGAAAACGTCTCGTCCATGTCTTTCCAGTTGTGTTAATTAAGGGGAGCCCTGATCATTGCAATAATTAGCTACGGCCACCTAAAGGTGTAACCCAAAGGAGGCCTGTTAGCCTTCCCATTCTAGTGCATTTCAGAGCCAAAGAGCAGCTGCTGTGACCAGCAAACATCAGGGGACAGAGAAGCAATGGGTCAAACTGGCCTGAAAATGGGGGAAACCTTCATATGTAGGGGATAAGACACTCCCCAAGAGGAACATTTTCAATTTACTTGCAAATTATTCCTGGGGTGGGGTGGGAGGAACTGGGGGTGAGTGAAGAAGAGGTGGTGCAGTCCGAACCCTTGTGGAAGAGCAACAGGGCGAATCCCTCTAAGCCCTTGGACGTCCCAGGATTTGTACGAATCTTGGGACATGCTGCAGCGGGCAGGATGTCTGAGTGTTGGTTCCCAAGTGCCCACCCTCGGCTGCAAGGCAGCACATTTGCCAGAGCTGAGCGAGATGGTCTGAAGCCTACATGAGGGGGATGGCCCCAGGGGCTTCCAAGAGACGATGCTACAGACAATGGCTGTCCCCACAAAAACACACACACCAGCCTGCCTCCTCCAAGAGACCCAACCACGTGGTTCATACAAAGAGCGGTTTCTAAAGTCTATAAGGCCTGGAGGAACATGCCACGGAGGCTCTGCTTCCCTCACCCCAGGCACTTTCCCCAGGCTCGGGGCTTCTCCTCCCCTACTTGGCTCCCTCCAGCTCCACTGCACACAGCTCTCTGTTAGCAAATCTGTACAGAGCTCAGCCTCTGTCTAAAGCTACCTCCTGTAGCTATGGCTTGCGCAGCGTGTTCTGTACAAGGGTCGTGTTTGCACCCGGCTCCAGTCATGCTGAAAGGCCAGGGCTGAATATCAGTTGGCTTTATCATCCCAGAGCTTTATATATTTTCCTGAAGTTGCAATTTATCATAACAATTAAAGGGGCTGGAGGGGAGGGTGTGCAAATTTCCGCTGCAAAATAATTGCAATATGCTCTCTGCTGTGACTTCGCAGGCTAAAGAGAACAGCGCTGATCAGATCATAAAAACCATTTTATGGCCATTATGGTACCTTAGAGCAGTTACCAGGTCTCAGTGACTGCTCAGGGACTCATCAGACCTAACAAGAGTGAGAGTGCGACAGAAAAGGAGGCACTAAGCCTACAGAAAGAGCCCACCAGGCCATGAACAGAACTAATGGCCTTACTACAACACAGGTTCTTCCTCTCCCCGCACCAACATTTCTAATACTCTGCACCTCTATACATTGACTCATTTCACTTAAACCCCGACACAAAGTGTGGTTCAGTGACACCCCCCCATCCGCTCCCCCGAAGTCACAGTGGCATCCGACAAAGGGACGCACTCCATTCCTACCGGCTTAAAAGTGATTTGAGAGAGACTCTCTCTACTTAAAAACAAACAAGCAGCCAATGACAGAAAATATCCACTAGGCTTCTAGCAAGGTCTAGCTACACCTGGACTGTGCTCCCTTGTTCGATTTGCTCAAGTGGCACCTACAGACCTGATCCGAAAAAGGGACAACCTAGTTACACTGAAGGGCCTGATTCTCCACTCCTTTATGCCCGTGTCATTGCACTAAAATGGAATGGAGTCTACGCTGACGTTCAAGCCCGTGTGGCGGAGTGGAAAACGGACCCTGAGTATTTAATTTAAAAATGCCTAAACTGTGCTACTGAAAACTTACTAGAGTGTTAAAAATGAATTGCAGTGTTTAAAGTTTTATTTGTACTATTTATGCGGTTGGGGGGTTGTTTTGCATTTCTTCCACGTCAGGCAAATAAACAGACTGCAAGAGTCAATTCTGTCCTTTAGTCTTGTCAGTTTGCAATCAATTTCACTTTCTTAATCCATGCAGGGGTATTTACTAGTGGACACACCCTTGCATTTATATTAGGTATACAGGCAACTACGGGCCTGATCCAGAGCCTGCTTCCATCAAGGGGACTCTTTCCACTGATTTCAAAGGGCTCTGGATTAGGCCATGGGTGAGTAAAACAGAACCATTAATCAACACACTGGGCCTGAGCCAAAGTCCACTAAAGACAATGGAATTGTTCTCTCTCGGATCAGATCCAACATCCCTTGTCAATACCATAGTCAGATTACATCAGCAAGAGGCACCTGTGCACGTGAACACTGTTAATACAGGTACTCGGATTCGGAGTGGTTCAACATCACAAGTGGCGGGTAGTTACGTATGAATCCAGCAAAGCGCTGTTACGTGCTAGTATGCATTCAGAAACTGCAGTGGCATCATTATGTATAGGTAGGTATGGGCTTTACAGCTATTTGATGGAGCCTTGTCATCTTGCAACTAGGAAGACTTGTCCGTGTGGCAGCGAGATTATGTGCAGGTCTCATACATTATCAGGGGGCTGCAATAGTTGAGTTGCAAACACTGCAAGAGAATTTTGTTCTTTTCAAAATACACTGTTCCCATTTATTTACTTTTTATATTCGTAACATGGGGTTTCTGAAAGCCCCCTCGTACATGCCTACGCCAATCTATCAGTGTCCCTTTACAATCATTTCTTGCATCAGAGTTTTGAAAAGCCACAGAGTCCAGAGGCCTCTCTTGTAACTACCTTTGTAGGGTAAATGCTCCCAAGTCCAGCAGGCTCCTTAACCCCAGCAGTTCCCTTCAGAAACACAAGGCTTGTAACTCGCAGCCATGACATGCAGGCCCACATGTTGCGTGTCCTCAGGGGATAACTCCTTGTCTAACAGCAGCACAAGTTCAACTGGACGCTTTTCCCCCAACCCCTTTGTCCTAGTTCTCTTTCACCCCTGCTCCTGTTGCAGAGCTCCACGTCACCCAAGCTCACATTACAACTTTGGAGGACCAAACACTTAGCCTAATCCAAGGGATGATCTATCCTGATGGTCTGAGAGCGTCACTTGAGCATCTCTGGTTACTCCCAGAGTCATCCTGAATTTATATAATGGCCCCTACTCTACCTCA